CGACATCTCTCATGAAAGCCAAGAAAGAGAACCCTTCCCAACCATCCGCTGGGTCTTCAAATTTGAAATCACTCTACTGGGAACATAGCCTAAAGAACCTCTCCACTCAATCCATGGCAATCCCGACATCCCCAGCGTCACTGCCTTAGTGTGACAGTCCAAAATAGCATAACATGGAGATAACCAATTCATACCCAATATCATATCAAAATCAACCATACTAAGCAGTAGAAGATCAACTCTAGTCTCCAATCCCCCAATAGCCACTACACACGACTTATACACACGGTCCATAATAATGTATCGCCCACCGGAGTAGATACATGAACAGATGAAACTAAAGACTCACAAGGCATATCCAGATAATGGGCAACATACGATGATATATATGAATAGGTGGAACCAGGGTCAAATAATACAGAAGCATTTCGGTGACATACTGAGTCAATATTTGTGATCACTGTGTCTGAAGCAATAACATCTAGTCTGGCAGGGAGTTCATAGAAACGGTCCTGACCACCACCTGATCGGCCTCCCCCTCTAGGGAGGCCCCTAGATGACTGAGCTCTACCCCGAGCTGGGTGGGTGGGTGGCAAAGTAACTGGTGCTGAAGTCGAAGGATGACTCCTTTGCTGAGATGAACCTCCCATAAGGCAAGGAAAGTACCTCTTGATATGACCAAAATCTCCACACTTAAAGCAACCTCTCCCTACAAACGGCGGTGGAGACTGAAGAGAGTTCCGAGCATCAGGATAACCGCTAGAAAGACCCGACATAGAGGAACCTTGAGCTAATGGTGCATGAGTCGAACTTTGAGCTGGGAGGGTACTGAGAGATGAGTGAACCTATTGAGAACTGTGAGAACCATGGCCAGATGATGCACCACGGTGAACTGGACGAGTCGTCTGAGCATGCCTGTAGGGATGACCCCGGCGTGGTGAAACTGACCTCCAGAAGGAACCCCACCAAAACTACCAGATCAATGAATCCTCTTGACCTCCCTCTCAACCCGTTCCTGGTGGCGAAAAGACTCTATCTCCCTAGCAATGTTAACAACCTTCTCAAAAGTAGCACCAGACATCCTCTCTCTGGTCATAAGTATCTGCAGCTGATATGCGAGGCCATTAACAAACCTCATGGTCCTCTCCCTATCTGTGGGAACCAACCAACCAGCTTGACGGGCTAACTTAGAAAATCTCATCCCGTACTGTATCATAGTGATATCATCCTGACATAACTACTCAAACTGTCTGTACAGCTCCTCTCTGCGAGACTGTGACACATACTTCTCCATAAAGAGAATGGAGAAATCATACCATGTAAGTAGCGTTGCACCAACTGGCTTACGCCTCTCATAAGCCTCCCACCAAGTGAAGGCATCTCAAGTGAATTGAAAAGTAGTGAATGGGACCCCACTGGTCAGAATGTTGTACGGAGAATCCTCTGAAATCTATCCAAGAAACCCTGGGCATCCTTTCCTCCAAAATATGAAGGAGAGTCTCCCAAACCTCTCCAATCTACGATACTCATCATCAGGCATGACAAGAACCATATAGTCCTGAGCATCTGCAACCGGATGGGCTGGTGGTACCCCTAGTATCTAGAGTTTCTGTACCACCTACTTGGGTGTGTGAGCAGCGTGCGTCTGAGAACCTTCCCCAGCTTGAGAAGTGGCTGTTGCGGCTGGAATAGATACTGCCTAAGCAAGACTGGTGCATACGATCAAAATCTGGGCTAAGGCCTTCTGAAGGCCTAGAATCACAATAGGCATTGCTGGTGTCTGAGCTGGTCCCACTGGCATATCCACAACTAGGACCTGGTACATAACTGGGCAACTGGAGGATCTGTAGGTGCCACCCTAGCTGGTGTACGGGCTGCACCTCTGCCCCTGCCATGGACTCTACCACGACCTCGGCCTCTTGCGGCCCTAATTGGTGGTACTCGTGGCTATCCATCCTGCCTAGTGACATGTGTCCTCACCATCTGTGAGAGAATAGAATAATAGAAGTTTAGTTACCAGAATCAATAGAGTCGCACAATGAATTCAAGAATGTGAAGTTTTCTAAGGGTTCTGCAACCTCTTGAAGATAAGTATAGACGTCTCCGTACGGGTCCACAAGACTCAACTAAACCCCCTCATGACTCGTGAGACCTATGTTACCTAGGATCTGATACCAACTTGTCATGACCCAAAATTGACCGTCCTAATAGCGTCTATCATAGAACTAGGATAACTTCAAATTAACAACCCATCACAACAACAATAAGTTTGAAAATAAAATGTAAGCATTTAACAATTAAAGAAACCTTTTTGAAACATAATAAATCCCAAAATACGATATAATCCAGCCTAAAGCCGGGGTGTCACTGAGTACATGAGCGTCTAAATCAGAATACAGTGCACTACATTGTCTAGAGAAATAAACTGAAAATACGACAAATGATAAATGAGGAGGGTCAAGGCCCCAAACATTGTACAACTACCTCGATTGTCTCTAAACTGTGAAACCTCAATCAGCAACCGCCGCTACGACTGGTATCGCCTGGATCTGCAAATGAGGTGCATAGAGTAACGTGAGTACACCAACTGAGTAAGTAACGAGTGCAAACTTTGGACTGAAAGGTAGTGACGAACTCAACCGGAATAGATAAAATAGAAATACATGTGCAGAAACATAGGCATGCTTTCAAGTTAAATAGACAGCTCAAAGCAGTAAAGTATATACCGATTCGAACAGTATAAGGTATATACCTCTGCTATTTCTACATGCCAATGCACATACTGTATGAAATACCATGTTCTCCCACTCTCAAATTATCAACCACTCGGTACTGTATCTAGCCCATCCGGCCCAAGGAAGATCCATCCCAAAACATATACATTACCAACTATAAGTCATCCAGTACCGAGGAAAAGCGAAATCCATCCCTGTGGAGAAGATCCACCTCCAAGTATCAGGTACTTCAAACAAGATCCATGTACAGGGAAGATCCATCCTTCAATAGTATCAACTGCGCTCACTGGGTATGTTACAGACTCTAGAGGGGCTCCAAATCCCAAGCACTATCACAAATTAATATAATCGATGCGGCATGCGGTCCAATCCCATAATTATCACTCATAACCAGGCTCTCGGCCTTACTCAGTCGTCAATCTCTCCCATCTCACCCACAAGCTCACAATGTCATAAAACTAACTCGGAACAATGATATGATGTATCAATAAATAACTGAGACTGAGATATGATATAAAAATGCATGAATATGACCGAGTACAAAAATCAATGAAATCAGTTAGATGACAGCAAAAAACGACCTCTAAAGGTCCCAACAGTACCGGCATCAAGCCTAAACATGATATCTAGCATGATTTATGATGTTCGGCCAAAACTGCATATATTTACCCATTGTTGCCTCACATTCTAGTACTTTTAATCATCTTTTGAGTATTAATTATATTATTTTATGCTTAATATTTTATTTTAACTGTGTAGGAATAAAACGGTGTGAAGATGAAGTAATGTGGAGTAAAATTGAATAAAATGCGGAAGAAAAAGAAAGAAAATTAAAAGAATAAAAAAAGGGGGACAGCCTTTGGGTTTTGTCCCCCCAAGTGGAAGACAAAGAATTGAAATTGAAATCAAACAAGTAAAGAACTTGGCAGCACAAAAATTGAAAAAGGGGAACGTGAAAACGTTACTAGCCTCAGCGTCAGGGCTAGCACGAGGCGCTGCCCTGGACGCTGGGTGACAAGATTTTCCTATTTCGCCTGAGACAAGGTTATTTTGACTCTACATGGTCCCATTTCATACAAAAGGGGTCCTAAACCTAATTTGGAAGATATCTAACATACTTTGAAGGAGAATTCACGTGGAGGAACACACACCATGCTTGGAGAAGGCTTTTAACTAGTTTTTCTCTTCTCTTCCTTTAATTCATAGTTTATTTGTTCTAGAGTTGTGGTGTGCTACATGAACGTTGCGATTTGAAACTTGAATTGTTCTTATTATTTTATCATTTTGGTTTATTTTTTTAATATTGCACTTAATTATTTGATTGTTTGATCAACAATTGAATACTATCTACGAATCTAGGATTGAACTCGGGAGAGGAAATTTTAGATTGCAAATAAAATTGAATAGAGCAAGATCTTGAACTCGAGTATCGGGAATGGATTTGTGGTTAGGATAGGGATATACCTAATTACCTTGCTTAGTTATTATGCAAAAATTATTAATGTATTCTTGTTAATCCTAATTCCATAGGAATATAGGCGTTAGGTTAGCTTTAATTGGCGAGTTGTACTTCGGTAGAAGTCTACGAGCAATATTAACCCTGTCAATCAATAAACTAGATAAATTAATTAGACAGTTTAGGTAGAAAACTCAACGGGATTGTTAACTAACCCATATCTCTAGAATATTCTCTCCCATTGAATTCGTTTTTAAGCCTGTCATTGTTTTCTTTAATCTCTTAATTTGTTACTATAGAGTAATTTTAGTTAAATATTCATACGTTAGGATTCGCTTGAATAGATTAATTATTTGATTTAATTTAGTTTATAGTTAATCACAAGTCTCTGTGAGTACGATATACGTACTTACAATCCTTTATTATTTGTACGATCACGTATACTTGTGTGTGCGTTTGGGAGCAATAAATATTTGGCGCCGTTGCCGGGAACTTAGAAATTAACTATCACTAGATTGGATTTTTACTTCTTGTTTATTTTAGTTTTTTAATTTAATATTTATTATCTTTGTTGAAATGGCAACTTGGAATGAGAATTGGTAGAATATTGGTTATTCTTATTATGGTGATCCTTGTCCATATTGTGGAGGACCACACTTGTGGAAAAATTATGAATCTCAATCTTATGGATGAAATATTTTTAATATGTGTGGTTATCAAGGTAGCCATTGGGATGGTTGTCTTAATTCTTATTATCCTTCTCATAGCTCTTATTATAATATTTCTAATAATGTTTATGAGTTTGATAGGAGCAAGGAAGTGGAGGATATGGAATGCATTACACGTATTATGGACATGATTAGGCAATCAGTAGACGAGCAACAAGACATGATGAGGCAAGTAGCCGAGCAACAAGTTCTTGACGCCTTAGCGATCAAAAGAATGCAGGATAGAATGGACGAACTAATGGCCAATTTCCAAGAAGAACCTCAACTCGACGAAGAGAGCGAGTACCCACAAGAAGATAATTTTTAAGAAGCAGACATAGTATGCAATCTTGGCTAGAGGAACAAGCTTAACTGATAAAATCTCATGAGTTTCTTCGCGATGGTCTTTCAAATATGACAGAACAACCGATAGAAGGAAGAACTGAGCTCAAGCAAGTAGACCAATTTAGCTCAGATATCCATAACCTGCAGGCTGAATTGAATAAAAAGGCTGAGGCGTTTGATGCCCTACAACCAACTTTTGTGGATAATGGCCAGCTTGTGGAGCGGAAAGAGGAATTCCAACCTTTTGACCAAAATATTATTAATGATGCCAAGGTTGACGAAGTGGTGCAAAAGTGAGGATGTTAAAAGTGAAGCGATCGTAGAGTTGGAGCGTATTGGACCTCATTCTAAACACTTTTCAACATTGTGTTTGGTTGGCAACATGAGAATCGATCCATTAAAGCATATAGAGGAGTCAATAGATGAGGAACAAGGTGCTTATATACTAAAATTTGCAACACCTAAAAGGTAAAACGACATCCCTCACTTAAAGGCCAAGAAGTGCAAGATGTGATACCTATTGCTTGATTCCTTTATTTTTACACCACCGCCCCAGGAAAGTGATAGAAAAATTGATGCAAAATTGGGGGCGTAATTCATATCCTCAAAGTGGAAGGAAAAGTGGTGAAGCGATGGCGTCGTTCCACGACTATAAATAAGGCGTTTGTTGGAGGCAACCCAATTCTATTTTTTTTTCTTTTTATTTTTTTGTATTGTGTTATCGTTGTGGTGTTGTTTTTGTGTTTTGTAGGCATAGGAGCATGGAATCAAAGCCTATAGGCTTGTGTAAAATCGAGCATGTGGTTGGAACTAAGTGTGAGGTACCCACACAAGGGATCATACCTAGGAGAAGTCTGAGTATCTCGTGAGCTGCTAATACTTTGGCCTTTGACCTACCAGGTAGTCTCTTTTACCCTCTTGTTATTTACAGTGTGCATTGAGGACATTGCATAATTTGAAGTGTGGGGTGAAGAGATTGTCTAGGTGATTTTGCTGTGCTATCTTAACTTAGTTGTAGTACTCATTTTTAGTGTAGTGGTTTTTGTTAAAAATAAAAAAAAAAAATCATAAAGTTTTAGACTTTTCCTGATGATAGATCTCTTGGACAACTTTCTTGAGGGATTAAGGTCCAATGAAAAAAATATAAAAAAATATTTTGAATTCTTATTAGTTTTACTTAGGTATTAATCCCCATTGGTTTTTCTTTTTTACATCGGTTCTTTTTCAGGGGATGTAACTTGAACCGGGTAAACTTTTTTTTTTACTTTTAGGATTAGATATTTTTTGAGTAGAAAAATAGGGAGAAGAAAAAGCTTTGTGATTTGTTTGATAGTAGCATATTTATGCCTGAGCTTGAGTAGTGCTTTCCTCTTAGTGCTTGAGTAATGAATAAAATAATAAACTTTCTGACACCTAAGCTCAGGGTTGTGACTCTGTATATACCTTATTCTTATTTTGTTGTTCACTATTATCCTGTCTATCTTAGAGTAGAATTGACCCATCATGATCGATACTTGTGCCATGTGGGGTGAGGATTTCTTACATATATTCCATGTTTTGCATCTTAGTCTAGAACTTTCCCTGCATGTTATTGAAGAGAAATAAAGGTGTTGTTCTGTTTAGAAGATGATAATAGGCTTTCTTTATGATGTGACTTGTGAATTTTAGCCTTTTCAGATATTGTACCACTAGTTAGCCCTTTGAATCTATGGCCTTTTGTTTGGAAGCCGTATTTTTGTCTTGGTCCTTTTGTTTGAATCCCTAATTTTTGTACCCTGCTTCCTTGAGCACTGTTGCATAGAGTGTGATATTAATTATAAAATTTGAAGAATGAGATGGTTAAGTGAAAAATGGTGACCAATGTGTCACGACCCAAACTGGAGGGCCATGACTAGCACCCGACCATATTTGCCGAGCACCAACGTACATTTTATCTAACCTTCTTTATTATCTTTTACGGCTGACGAGATCTATATAAATGGTAGACATGGATCATGGACAACCAACAATACAAACTGATGGCATGAACATATATAATATGGGATGACCAGACAATCAAGAAACTATATATAAGGTATGAGCTACCACGCTACCATGAAAGACTATACAACAAAAACTAGCCGACAAGGCATACCAAACTATACATGAGTCGACACCTGTCTATGAGCCTCTA